AATAGCCCCTATCCATAAAGAGTTTACAAAATCATTGTAATGCTATGATGTGATGAGTGTGAAAATAAAGATGTAACCCGATGTGGTGGGCAATAGGGAATGGTGGAATTTGTTCTGGGAAGACAGAAAAAATGAAAAGGTTTTTCAGAGAAAGTAGCATTTTTGCTGCACTTTAATCACCAGCTGTGGGCAGAGATATGAGGCCTGTAAAGGCAAAAGTTTGTTTTAGAAGACTTTATGCCCCTTTCTGGCTTGATTTTCTTATTTCAAGCTACCTGCTTCAACCCTCCAGAAAGCCTCTGACTTCTTCTCCCTAATACTTTCTTTCTGTTGCCTAAAAAGAACAATGAATTTGCTCTAGCAGCTTTATTGTATTAAACAAAAACACTTCAAGTGGCTTTTATTTTTTATTCCTTTTATTTTTTGAGGAGAAAAATCATATAAAAATGTTACTGAAACAGTATCATGGTTGAAACTGCTTTTTATACAACTGCTCCAACATTGAGGCATTTGATGAAAGACTATACCTGAGTATTAAATCACTCCTACTTTTCTCTGCATGTATTTTTGAAACCAAAGACCATGGAGTAGGTATGTGTAGTAATGAAGTCATTGCACTGATACTGAGAGCTGAGCTTTTTCTTAAAACCTCCCTTCTTTAACCAGTGTATTTCATGAGTTCTTTCTAGGAGATTGTATCATGGCATATTTTAAAAGAACACTAAAGAAACAATTTAGTTACAGTTATTTATTTTTAGAAATTACTTTTGCCTAATATTTGATTTTCAGATGACTCATTAAAAATATCAAGTCATTCATAATGAACTGCTTTATGTCTTATTATTTAGATATTTTATTAAGAGTTTAATAAGTTCAATGCCACAATGTATTAATCATCTAGAAAGTGCCAAAACAAGATAGGACTGAAGGTATAACTTTTGAAAGAGACTTGCTATATCAGATATTTTAATTTATTGTGAAATTACATAAAACAGTGCCGCTGGTGTTGGAATAGACAGAGTAATGAAGAACTGAATATAGCATCTAGAAATTGATCTAAAATCATATAAAAATTAATAAAAATATCAAGGTGATATTTAAAATCAATGGAGAGAAGATGACTTAATCGCTAGATCTCATTGGAGCACATTCATTGAATAAATGTGAAAGGAAAAAACTATATCCTTGCCTTATTTGTTTCACAAAATAAATTTTGAATAGATAAAATGTTTAAATATAAAAACATGAATTGAGAGAAGTCCTAAGAGAAAAAATAGGTTAACATTTTTATAATACCGAAGTAAGGAAAGCATGATATGAAACCAAGAAGTCTTTAAAAAAAAAGACTGAGACTGATAAACCTTACTAGACTGAAAAAAATCTTCACCATATATGACATCCAAAGAATTAATATCATTAATTTACAAGGATATCTCAGAATCTGTGAGAAAATAAAAGAATACATCAGCATAAAAATGGCAAAAAATAACCTGGCTCATAAGCCTAAAAGTATCCTCAACTTTATTCATAGTCAAAGGATTGTGAATAAAAATGTAACAGTATTTTTTTTCACTGATGAAATTTATCAGCACTCTTCTAGCAAAAATTTGAGAAACACACTCATGAGCTTTTTGTGGAAATAGAATTGTCATAATCTTTTTAGGGGATATTTTAGAAGTATATAATGTGTCAAAATCTAAAATGTGCATACTTTTTGTCCACTAATCCTACTCTTTGGAATTTTTCTTAAGGAGATCATCTTAAAAGTATTCAAAGATATGTGCACACAGATACTCTTCAAAAAATTAGAAGACACTTAAATGACCATGGATGGTATTTAATAAATATTCGTATTAAGTTACATAAATTATGGCACATATAGACAACAGAACACTAGACAATAATATTGGAGTGGGATTTCTGATCTAAAGATTTTGATTACCCTTTGATTACCCTTACTGCTTTAAGGAATTTGAATTCCACATTAAGATGGAACAAAGTAGAATTCTTATAGAGGAACGTGGCCAGAATAGCAGCCAGCATGAATAGCCAATATGGCAAGTTAGGAGCAGTTGAGAAATATGGTACACATTTAGAGAAAGAGATATAAAATGTCTAGGACCAATGGAGGTAGACTTTGACTATAAAAATTATTCATTTGTACACTTGAACAATAGCCAAAAAATAACAAGTGTCCCATTATTGGAATTATCCAAACAGTGGGTGGAGGGACCATTCAGATTTCAACTTTTGTATTACCTCATTAGTATGCCTTTCTTGACTATCCTTTCTAAAATAGCACACATTTCTTCTCTCACTCATACCTTGATTTATTTTTTCCTTTCTGAAAAGATTCAAGAATGGTATAATTCTTTATTCTCTGGACCAACTGACATATATTTATTTGTTTATTATATACTCTCTACATTGTCCCTTAGAATGTAGGCAGAGACTTGGCTGTATTGTTCATAGCCATATGCCAGCCACCAAAGCCTTGAACTATTGTATTATAATACGCAGTAAATGTTTGTTGATTGATAGATATTGGAGAAGGGGATTCATACATTCAGTTAGGTAAATTTTATGGGCCTTTCAATTGTTCAAAGATTTTTTATATTATTTGTAGGTCTCTTCAGGGGAGGGGTCATTCTTCTCATAAGTATACCTATCATATGGTATACAGTAGAGTTTATAAGACATGTTCTTAGTTTTGTTCATATAATAACAATACTGATATAAATGAGATGTCTGGGTTTTTCCAATTTGTAAGGTCTCAGCGCAAGTATTTCCTCTGTAGAGCAACTGTCCATAGCTTACTAAGAGAGCTCATAGTCTGTATGACATCACTTATATTTATTCTCTTAAAGTACTTACCACGTATTACCTTGTTTTGTTTCTGTATCAATTGTGTCTCATCATACACCAAAATGTAAATCCAATGAGGGCCAGGAACCTGTTATACTGCCTAGTATACACAGGATACTCAGTAAACATCTATCAAGTGAATAATTAAAAACACTCAAATTATATGTGTTAAATTATAAAATACTAAGCCCATTTTAGTTAATAATACTAACCTTCACAATAATTCTGACCCCAAATATAGACTAAATTTCCCTGTTGTGCCTTCTGAGGACACTACCTCATTAGCATAAATTTGTCATCACTATAACTGTTTTATTTATTTACTATTTCTACTTATCTCTAGACTGAAAATGCTGTGAATTTAGGAACCATGTCTTTCTTGTTCCCCTAACATTTAACACAGTTCTTTGCACTTTGGAGAAGTTTATTTACTGGATGGTGGATGTAGATGCAATCTTGTGAGATAGATTCCATCTCTCTCTTTCAGATGAGTAAATTGAGGCTTGGAAGGATGAAGTAACTTACCTAAGATAGTTGCCTAAGACTTGAAATGACTCCTTCTGACTCTCCATATCCCATTCTTTCAACCCCACCAATAGTTCCTAGATACAGATTTTAGTTAGAATTACCTAAGGATATGGAAAGCCAAGATACTGTGGCAAAAAAATGTTCTGCATAAGGATCTTTGTGAGTGAGACCCCAGCAGAAAGAAGTGGCCATGAAAGAAGGATATACTTTTCTCTAAAGGGAGGAGAGAACTTCCACTTTGCTTATAGCCTTATCTAAATACTAACGGAATTTGTGGATTCACAGAGCCTCGGGTGGTCACTGACATCATACATGAGTATTAATTGTTAAATCAACAACAAGAGTCACTGTGCGTGAACTCCCCATGCAAGACCTCTGTCCTCAATGAGTTGTACTATGAAAATTAACTGTAAAACTTGTTCTCAGTTTTTTTGTGTGTGTGCAAGTGTGTGCAAACTGTTGAAATCTTTACTTAGTATAGAGTTCGTCTTCTGTGTACAGAATTAATTGAAAATGAATCTTAATGGAGAATGGGACTGGGGAGGTGAGAGGGAGGAGGGGGAGGGGTGGAAATGTGGGTGGGAGGGTGGGTATGGTGGGAAGAATAACTATATTCCTAAAGTTGTACTTATGAAATTTGTATTACTTAAAATATAAATATTTTTTCTTTTTTTTTTCTTTTTTTTTAACTTTTATTTAATGAATATAAATTTCCAAAGTACAGCTTATGGATTACAATGGCTTCCCCCACATACCGTCCCTCCCACCCGCAACCCTCCCCTTTCCCACTCCCTCTCCCCTTCCATTCACATCAAGATTCATTTTCAATTATCTTAATATACAGAAGATCAGCTTAGTATACATTAAGTAAGGATTTCAACAGTTTGCTCTCACACAGAAACATAAAGTGAAAAATAATAGATGATTTTCTTTAAATGATGATGAAATCAGATCAGACCTATTGTCATGTTTAATCCCAGTGAGAGTCAAGTTGGGAGTTGATAATTTTTTTTTTTTTACAGAGGATCAGTTTAGTATACATTAAGTAAAGATTTCAACAGTTTGCACCCCCATAGAAACACAAAGTGAAATATATTGTTTGAGTACTCGTTATAGCATTAAGTCTCAATGTACAGCACATTAAGGACAGAGATCCTACATGAGGAGTAAGTGCACAGTGACTCCTGTTGTTGACTTTACCAATTGACACTCCTGTCTATGGCATCAGTAGTCTCCCTATGCTCCAGTCATGAGTTTCCAAGGCTATGGAAGCCCTCTGAGTTCTCCGATTCTTATCTTGTTTAGACAAGGTCATAGTCAAAGTGGAGGTTCTCTCCTCCCTTCAGAGAAAGGTACCTCCCTCTTTGAAGACCTGTTCTTTCCACTGGGATCTCACTCACAGAGATCTTTTGCCAGAGTGTCTTGGCTTTCCATGCCTGAAATACTCTCATGGGCTTTTCAGCCAGATCCGAATGCCTTTAGGGCTGATTCTGAGGCCAGAGTGCTATTTAGGACATCTGCCACTCTATGAGTCTGCTGAGTATCTCACTTCCCATGTTGGATCACTCTCCCCTTTATTTGAGTCTGCTGAGTATCTCACTTCCCATGTTGGATCACTCTCCCCTTTATTTATTCCATCGGTTAGTGTTAGCAGGTACTAGACTTGTTTATGTGCTCCCTTTGACTCTTAGTCCTTTCATTATGATCAATTGTGAACTGAAATTGATCACTTGGAATAGCGAGATGGCATTGGTACATGCCACCTTGATGGGGTTGAATTGGAATCCCCTGGTATGTTTTTAACTCTACCATTTGGGGCAAGTCAGCTTGAGCATGTTCCAAATTATACATCTCTTCCCTCTCTTATTCCCACTCTTATGTTTAACAGGGATCACATTTCAGTTAATTTTCAACACTTAAGAATAACTGTGTATTAATTACAGAATTAAACCAGTCATATTAAGTAGAACAGACAAAAAAACTACTAAGAGGGATAATGTATTAAGTTGTTCATTAACAGTCAGGGCTATGCTGATCAAGTCACCGTTTCCCATGGTGTCCATTTCACTTCAGGAGGTTTCCTTTTTGGTGTTCAGTCAGTTGTCACCGATCAGGGAGAACATATGGTATTTGTCCCTTTGGGACTGACTTATTTCACTCAGCATGATGTGTTCCAGATTCCTCCATTTTGTTGCAAATGACTGGATTTCGTTGTTTCTTACTGCGGTATAGTATTCTAAAGAGTACATATCCCATAATTTCTTTATCCAGTCTACCGTTGATGGGCATTTGGGTCGGTTCCAGGTCTTAGCTATTGTGAATTGAGCTGGAGCCTTCAAAATATGTCCTCAGGCCATACTTGGGACTGACTGAGAGAGAACTGCTGAAGTTGGGACCCAGAACTTTGTTTAAAGAAATAGAGAAAAGTATGAGTATTGCTGTGGAATCAGTGCTTTATACCAGGGTTTGGCAAACTAATGTTTGAGAGCCAACTCTAGTTTCCTCCTGTTTTAGTATAACATAATCATACTTATTTATTTATGTGTTGTCTGTAGCTGCTTTCACACTACAATGGCAGAGCTGAGTAGTTGTAACATAGAGTGTAAGCCTACAAAGCATAAAATTCAAAAAATATTGATTTGAAAGGCAGAAATGCAGAGAGAGAAGGAGAGAGAGATCTTCCATCCACTTGTTCATTCCCCAAATGGCTGCAATGACCTGAGCTAAGCCAGTCTGAAACCAGGAGCCAGGAGCTTCTTCTGGGTCTCCCACATGGGAGCAGGTGCCCAAGTACTTGGACAGTCTTCTGCTGCTTTCTCTGATGTATTAGCAGGGAGCTATATAGGAAGTGGAGCAGCCGGAGCTTGAACCAGCACTCATATGACTGCCGGCACTGCATGCAGAGGTTTAACATTCTACACCATAGCACTGACCCGTATCTTGTCTCTTACAAAAAGTTTATGAGCTCCTGATGTACATCTTGCTGCATGTCCTATTTATTCCTTCTTAAAAAAATTTTTTTTGGATTATTTATTTGAAAGAGAGAGGGAGAGACAGAGAGATGTTCCACTCACTGGTTCACTCCACAGATGCCTACAATGGCCAGGATTTGACCAAGCTGAAGCTAGGAGCCAGGAACTTCAACTGGGTAGCAGGGGCCCAAACACTTGGGTCATCCTCCTCTGCTTTTCCCAGGCCCTTAGCAGAGAGCTTGAACAGAAGTAGAGCAGCTGGAGCATGAACCATTGCCTATATGGGATACCAGTATTAGAGGCAGCAGCGGCCATTTGGGGGGTGAACCAACGGAAGGAAAACCTTTCCTTCTGTCTCTCTCTCTCTCTAACTCTGCCTGTCAAAAAAAAAAAAAAAGTAATGAATGTATTTAGTCTTTCCTTGAGGGTCCTCTCAGCTAAGAGCAAATTTTTTATTAAATTCTGATAACCTCTTTAAATCTTGATTCCAGGAAATATCCATCTCATTTACCCTATGGACTGTCTAGTCATGAGGATTAGTCATTGGCTAGTTCTTGAAATGATTCAGAACTGACAGTGATTTCTGCCAAATCTACTTGGCTCAGTTAAGGATGGTGGGAAAGGGGCCAGTTTTAAAACAGAAGCTACAAAGTCAATAAAGTATATAGACTTGGCATCATCTTTGGAGTGATTTAGATTTTATCATTCAGTGACTCATTTTTATTCCCAGCATCTAGTGCTTTTTGCATTGCCCAAAGGGGCCCTGTGCTGTTCCACCACAGAGGAAACTTCAAGAAATGCTGGTTTGCTACAGTGTTGTAGCTTGTGAGAGTCTCTGGGACCTTCCTTGCTCCATCATGGGGTCACCACTAGGTGGGTATTAGGGGAAGATTGGTAATTGGTTTAACCTTTAAATAAAGAATTTGATGATCTTTTGTAGTCCAATGGTTATGTGTTTAACAACCTGTCCCTTAAAATGTTTTCCCTGTATTTAATATAGTACCAACCTTAAAGATTATTTCTTCGTCATAATCTTCTTTAAACTTTGAGAAACTCTAAGTCCACCTCAAGAGGCTAAAAGATTTTGTAGACTCCTAAGCTTGTTCTTGCTTAGTATCATCAGAAAAGCTTCTCGGGTCCTACTTGTCTCTAAATTACCAGATCTTTGTTATTTTGCACCTCAGAGCAATACAACTATGATTGGAATAGGAAAGGATTAGGGTGAGAAAGAGCCAGTAAAATCTCATCTATCTTCCACACACCCCCCCCAATTAAATCCTCTCGCCTTATGTCTCTAGATTGCCTATCCTTCACTCTTCCTGAGCTGAAATGGTGGTATCCAACCACATTGGATGCTAAAAGCTGTCATTTGACAGCAATAAGCAACCTCTGCAAGGGTCAGATTGTTCAAAAGAAATCACCACATTCGCTTTCTACTTCTTCTGTTTTTCATGAGCTTCCTGGGCACTTCTTTAAGACATTGGTGTATCATTTTTGACATTTTGGGTCACTTCAGGGACTAATGTGAAAATGCCTCAGGTCATTTTCAGACTGTGATTTTAAAAAGTTAGTCTAAAAGATCTCAGGTCACCTAGATTCTCCCCTTAATAATCCTTTGAGTCCAAACAGGAAAAAAAAATTTTTATGCTCAAAACCAACTTACAAATCGTTTAATGTTTAGTGTAGATTATGTCCCAAAAGCATTTTTTTTTGGAAGTTGACTGTGATAGAGATTTCTGTTTCCTTTACAGGTCATTTTACTTGGGACAAATACCTAAAAGAAACATGTTCAGTCCCAGCACCTGTCCATTGCTTCAAGCAGGTAATTGATTCTCAACAGCTTTAGTAGGTGGGAGACAAATAGTTTTATTCTTTATGTTTTTGGGTTTTTTTTCTGGTTCTTATATTATCAAAACATGAGGAGGGATCCCTTGGGCTTTTCATCACAGGGCTCCAGAATAAACCTCTATGAGAGGAGCACAACTCAAGAGGTAAAATTTGGTGACTGTGAGTTTTAGCAGCAGACATTCTCCCCAACTTCATCCCTAACTTCTTACCTTCTTTACCTCTTGAGGATATTTTGTGTTATTGGAAATAATTGCTAATTTTTACTATAGCTATTAACTCAGATAGGAAAGAGTTAAAGTTATATCTCCTTAGTTCTTGAAATTGTAGGAGTATTCCTATACAATATTGTCTTTCTGTAAGAATGTTGACACTGAATCTCATTGGGGACCATTTTGGGAGCTCTTCACAGGTCATCTAGAGCTTTCCACATAAGCTCAAGTGCTACAAATGATGTTGATTGTATCAGTATGTGATAAGAGTGGTGAGTAAAGAAGCCTGCTGCACTCTGGCCTCAGAATCAGCCCTTAAGGCATTCAGATCTGGCTAAAAAGCCCATGAGAGTTTCTCAGGCATGGAAAGCCAAGACATTGTGGCAAAAAAAAATGACCTAAATGAAAGATCTCTGTGAGTGAGATCCCAGTGGAAAGAACGAGCCATCAAAGAAGGCAGTAGCTTTCTCTGAAGGGAGGCGAGAACTTCCACTTTGACTATGGCCTTGTCTAAATAAGATCAGAGTTGGTGAACTCAAGAGGTTTCCATTGCCTTGGCAACTCATGACAAGAGCCTCAGATGATTACTGATTATCAATAAGTGTGTCAATTTTTAAATCAACAACAAGAGTCACTGTGTACTTGCTCCCCATGTAGGATCTTTGTCCTTAATATGATAATTAATGGTAAAAATAGTCTTCAAGCAGTACTTTATACTTTGTGTGTCTGTGTGGGAGCAAACTGTTGAAATCTTTACTTAGTATATAGTAAGTTGATCTTCTGTATATAAAGATAATTAAAAATGAATCTTAATGAAGAATGGGATGGTTTCTGGGTGGGTGGGTGGTTAGGGGGGGAAAAGCCACTATAATCCAGAAGTTGTACTTTTGAAATTTATATTTATTAATAAAAGTTTTCTAAAAAAAAAAAAAAGAAGAAGCCTGCTGCTACTAGACATAGCCAAGTACCAGGAAGTTATTTATATATCTCTTCCTTAATTACACAATGGTTATTTCATCTGTCTATATTTCTTTTTCTTTTTTAAGATCTATTTATTTGAGAGGCAAAGTCACAGAGACAGAAAGGGTGAGACAGATCTTCCATCTGCTGGTTCACTCCCCAAATGGCCATGATAGCTGGAGCTGGGCCAATTTGAAGCCAGAAACCAGGAGCTTCTTCTGGGTCTCCCACATGGGTGTAGGGACCCAAGCATTTCAGCCATCTTCCACTGCTTTCCCAGCCATTAGCAGGGAGCTGGATAAGAAGTGGAATAGCTAGGACTCCAACCAGCACTCATATCGGATACTGGCAGCACAGCAGAGGCTTAACCTACTATGCCATGGCACCAGCCCCTCATCTGTCTACATTTCACTTCAAGTTTGAGTTTTTTCTATATTCTAAGTAAACATAAAAATTTAGAAATTGTACCCATTTGAAAGTAATAAGAAATGAATTCATACTTCTACCTGAAACATTTTTTGAAAAGACAAAAATATAGTAAACCATAGTTTAAAGTCACTGAAGATAAGACAACCAACTAGTGATATCTAAAGATGGAAAACAAATGTGTTTCCTACAATCCCTGCCTACTGCCTTCAAGAGAGTTTCCTGATCATGGATCAGGGAAGGGGAGAGCGAGCAAATTCCCTAATTCATGGAGATGCTTTTAACAATCCAGGGATACCAAAAATGACTAGAATATACAGGACAAAGTACTAGAGATGAAAGAGCTGAACAGAAAGAAAGCTAGAGATCTGCATAGAACTCCCTTCAGGTAGGTGCTACTGTTCAGGACATCCTTGTGAAGGAATATACATAAAGCCAAAGAAAAACCCATCTGAAAGGGTTAGAAGGAACTGACCCTGATACTCACAGAAAAGTAGGAATAGTTCCTGATCCTACCAGCTTATCTAGAAAATCTTGTAATTCAATGGGCATTTTTAGAATGCAATCCTCAGGAAGAACTTGCTTAGTAGCAGGAAATAATTAAATAATTAGCACCGGAATACCATGAGGACTATTCTAGACCTATCTAGCAAATCATAAAAGTTGGAGTCAAATGATGAAACTATTTGTAGGCAACTCATCTGGGAACACAGCATAAGGAGATTTATTTGTGGGAATATAAGAATATCTAATACCCAACAGGTAAAATTCACAGAGCCTAGCATCTGGTCAAAGATTCCTAGGCATGCAAAGAGGCAGGAGAATACAAGCAATAATGGAGAGAATGATCGAATGATCAAGTGATTGAAACCAACTCAGAATCTGCCCAGATCATAGAATAACAAGCAAACACATCAAAATAGTTATTTTAACTGATATGCTTAAAAGTTAAGCAAATGTGGAAGATGTAAAAAATCTTATCGAACCACTAAATATGCAATGAAAAATACATTGGATAGTAGTGATGCCAGAAGTAAAGATTGGTAAATATGAAGACATAGCAATAGAACCTTTCCAAAATTAAATGCATAGGGAAAAAAATTAGAAAAAAAAAGAGTACCAGTAACATGTAATTAGAGTCTCCAAAGGAGAGAAGAAATGGTGTCTAAAGAAATAATGCCTAAAATTTTTCAAAAAATGAAGAAAAATATAGATCTATATATCTAAGAAGCTCAGTGAATCCTAAAAATAAAAGAAGAAAACAACACTAAGACATATCAATAAAATTTCACAAAAACATAGGAAAAACCTTAAAAGTTGCTAAAGAAATATACTTTTCATATGGGATAACTAATATAAGAGTGACATTGTGTTTCTTTTCAGAAATAATACAAGCAAGAACAAAATTAAGCAACATCTTTAAAGTACTGAAAGAAAAAGTTGTCACTTAGAATACTATACCCAGCAAAATTACTTTTCAAAAAGAAAAGTGAAAAATATTTTCAGATGTACAAAAGCTAAAGAAATTGATCAGTAGCAGCCTTACACTACAAGAAGCATTGAAGTCCATCAAGCAGAAGAAAAATAACACCAAGTAGAATAACAGATCTCCACAAAGGAGTGGAAGTCACTAGAAATTGTAATTATAAGAATACATATGTCAGATGTTGTTGTTAAAGATCTCTGTAAAAGGTAGTTAGTTGTAAGAACAATAATTATTATGAGGATGATAACATATATAAGTAAAATTATAATGCCAGTTACAAAGGCAGGAGAGGAGAAACCTAAGTATACTATTGTAAAGGTCTTTTGCATAAAGTAGTATATATACTTGCAGTTACACCATGGTAAATTAAAGATATTTACTATAGGGGATGGTGTTGTGGCAGAGCGGGTGAAGCACTGCCTGTGATGCCAGAATCCCATATGGGCACCAGTTCAAGTCCTGGCTGCTCCAATTTCCAGTCCAGCTGCCTGGGAAAGCAATGAAAGATGGTCCAAGTGTTTGGGCCCCTGGACCCATGTGGGAGACTAGATGAAGCTCCCGGCTGCTGGCTTCAGCCTTAGCCAGCCCTGGCTGTTGAAGCCATTTGGGAAGTAAACCAGCAAACAGAAGATATTCTCTTTCTCTCTCTCCATCCCTCTCTTCTCTCTCTCTCTCTCTCTCTCTCTCTCTCTCTCTCCTTCCCTCTCTCTCTCCCCTCCCTCTCTCTCTCCTCTCCCTCTCTTCTTCCCTCCCTCTCTCTTTACCCCTCTCCCTCCTTCCTCCTCCCCCCTCCCCCTTATCCCCTCCCTCTCCCTCTCTTTCGCCTTTCCCCCTCTCTCCCTCACTCCCTCTCTCTCTCCTCTCTCTCCTCTCTCTCCCTCTCCCTCTCTGTCTGTAATTCTGCCTTTCAAATAAATAAAATCTTTTAAAAAATATGTTTACTCTAAACTCTAAAGCCAAGGCAGACATCGTGGCATAGCAGGTAAGCCAATATTTGGGACCCCCACATCCCATATCAGAGTACTGGCTCAAGTCCTGGCTCCCCTTTGTTTGCTTGCTTTAAAAAAATAATTTTTTTTTCTTGAAAGGCAGAGAGAGAGATCTTCCACCTACTGGTTCACTCTCCAAATGCCCATAACACCCAGGGCTAAACCAGGCCAGAGCTAGGAGCCCAGAACTCAACACATCAAAAAAACTTAACCTGATTAAAGAAATGCAAATCAAAACTGCAGTGAAATACCACTTTATATCCACGAAATGACTAAAATTAAAAAGGTTGATGATAGCAGGTGTTGCTGATGATATGGGGAAATTGAACCCTCATGCATTGATGGTGAAGTTTAAAAAATCCTACAGCCTATATCTTGCAGGGTTTTTCCAAGAAGTCTTTGCCAGTACCTATATATATAGGTAGTATATATACTTGCATATATACTATATAGGTACCAGCAAAGACTTCTTGGAAAATACCCTAGAAGCACAGGCAGTCAAAGCCAAAATTAACATTTGGGATTGCATCAAATTGAGAAGTTTCTGTACTTCAAAAGAAACAGTCAGGAAAGTGAAGAGACAACCGACAGAATGGGAAAAAAAATATTTGCAAACCATGCAACAGATAAAGGGTTGATAACCAGAATCTACAAAGAAATCAAGAAACTCCACAACATCAAAACAACCCACTTAAGAGATGGGCCAAGGACCTCAATAGACATTTTTCAAAAGAGGAAATCCAAATGGCCAACAGACACATGAAAAAAAAATGTTCAAGATCACTAGCAGTTAGGGAAATGCAAATCAAAACCACAGTGAGGTTTCACCTCACCCCGGTTAGAATGGCTCACATTCAGAAATCTACCAACAGTAGATGCTGGCGAGGATGTGGGGAAAAAGGGA